ACTTACGTTGAGGTTCTAGCAGGGGAGCGAAACCCGGGACCAAAGACTGGAGACCTCGGTACACTCCTTCTATACCTGGGACGTCGTCCTCTTCCACCGAGCGCGCAGCTTCGGGAGGGACGCACATGGAGCGGTGAGGGAGGAAGGGGACACCCGCCTAGCCAGCCAGATCAGCCGAATCAACCCTGGCGATCAATGGGGTGACAGATGTCGCAGCCAGATCGTCCTCACATCCTGGCGAGGGCTGGGTAAATGGCTTTGGAGGGCCGTATCTGGCCCCCGGGCCTTAGTTTGAGGACCCCTGTCTACATGGTAAGATATGTTCCTTGAGTACAAAGAGCAACAGCAGCAGAATAGCATAGCGCAAGGGCAGATGTCTTAACTGTGTCTGGTTGTGATCCCCAGGTTGTGCCAGTCAGCTTTCCTTAGCTCTCATACGAAAGCTAATCAAGGTAGTCAGTTGAAACATTCACACCTAGCTCCAGCAGACAAGGGTTCTTTGCCCCACCCTGTTTTTTTAATCGTGTCAGGAGCGACTTGAGAAACTGCAAGTCGCTTCTGCTATGAAAGAATTGGCCGTCTGCAAGGACATTGCCCAGGGGATGCCCGGATGATTTTGATGTTTTTATCATCCTTGTGGGAGGCTTCTCTCATGTCCCCACATGAGGAGCTGGAGCTGATAGAGGGAGCTCATCCGCCTCTCCCCGGATTCAAACCTGCAACCCGTTGGTCTTCAGTCCTGCCGGCACAGGGGTTTAACCCACTGCGCCACTGGGGGCTCCGCCCCACCCTGGTCATTCCACAGATATATAAACCCATTTTCCTAGTTCCAACAGACCTCACAACCTCTGAGGACACTTGCCATAGATGCAGGTGAAACGTCAGGAGAGAATGCCTCTAGAACATGGCTATATAGCCTGAAAAAACCTACAACCCACACATACACAGACTGAGCCACAGCAACGCGTGGCAGGGGACGGCACGCAGGGGAAGTCTGATCTGGCCACGGTGGTCCATGCTTTTGTTACATCCCGAATAGACTACTGCAATGCGCTCTACGTGGGGTTGCCCTTGAAGACTGTTCGGAAACTTCAACTAGTCCAGCGAGCGGCAGCCAGATTGCTCACTGGAGCGACATACAGCGAGCACACCACCCCCCTGCTATGCCAGCTCCACTGGCTGCTGGTTCAATTCCGAGCACAATTCAAGGTGCTGGTTTTGACCTACAAAACCCTGTACGGTTCCGGTCCAGTGTATCTGTCTGAACGTATCTCCCTTTATGTCCCACCTCGGAGTTTGAGATCATCTGGGGAGGCCCTGCTCTCGACCCCACCACTGTCACAAGTGAGGCTGGTGGGGACCAGAAGCAGGGCCTTCTCAGTGGTGGCCCCTCACCTGTGGAACTCACTCCCGGGAGAAATCAGAGCATCATCATCCCTCCTCTCCCTCAGGAGGAGGGTGAAGACATGGTTATGGGACCAGGCCTTTGGGCAACCAGGCAATTAAATAAGACAATCAGACGAGCAAGATCAGCAGGATTGTCGAAGTGGAATCAAAAACAGATCTATGAGTTAGTGTATACTGACAGGGTAGGAGGAAGAATTAGGTTTGTATTGGTTTTATTGATTTTATTGATTTTATTGGGATAATGCATGAATTGTGGTAACTATGAATTGTTGTAGTTTTGTGATGATTGTTTTGTGTGGCAGGCATCTAAGTGTGCCTTTGCTGTTGTAAGCCGCCCTGGGTCCCCTACGGGGTGAGAAGGGCGGGGTACAAGAATCCCAAATAAATAAATAATAAATAGTAATAAATAATAGGGCTGGGCGGTTTCGTTCGTTAATTTCGTAATTCGTTATTGATTCGTATTTAAATTAGCTTACGATCCGATATTGAGCCATGCAGGAGCAACTAAAAATCGAAACGAATTTTTCAATTTATTTCGTAATTGTTTCGTAATTGGTTCGAAATTGTTTCGAAATTGTTTCGTTATTATTTCTGTATGTCTGGTGCAAGTTTTATAGTCGTTGTTTGTTTTATCAGTGATAAAAAAAAATATCACACCAACAGTCAACAACAGAGGGAGAGGGAAGCTTCAGAAGTTCCCCCTGTCCCATTTGGAGGGTTTTTTAGCGTATTGCGCAATCGCGTCCGCCATTAACGAATCGATTCGTTATTGTTTCGAAATTGTTTCGTAATTTCCGAAATTTCGTAAATATCGAACTTTTTAAAAGAAAAATTTCGGAATTCTTTTAAAAAACGAAACGCAAAAAAACCCTAAAAACGAATCGAGTTTAGAAACAAATTTTTCCGTGGTTGGACAGCCCTACTAGACACTATGCTCCTATTGATGCAGGCCAAAATCCCATTGGCTTTTTTTGCCGCCACATCACATTGTTGGCTCATGTTTAACTTGTTGTCCACGAGGACTCCAAGATCTTTTTCACACGTACTGCTCTCGAGCCAGGCATTGTCCTCCATTTTGTATCTTTGCATTTCGTTTTTCCTGCCAAAGTGGAGTATCTTGCATTTGTCACTGTTGAACTTCATTTTGTTAGTTTTGGCCCATCTCTCTAATCTGTCAAGATCGTTTTGAATCCTGCTCCTGTCCTCTGGAGTATTGGCTATCCCTCTCAATTTGGTGTCGTCTGCAAACTTGATGATCCTGCCTTCTAACCCTTCATCTAAGTCATTAATAAAGATGTTGAACGGGCCCAGGACGGAACCCTGCGGCACTCCGCTCGTCACTTCTTTCCAAGATGAAGAGGAAGCATTGGTGAGCACCCTCTGGGTTCGTCCATTTAACCAATTACAACTATTGGTCCCAATGGCTGAGGAGAAAGTCAGGAGAAGGGGTGACTTTTGCTGCACACGCCAGGGTCTTCAGGCACACCTCTGGACCCAAAGCAGGCCAGGCAAGGGAGCAATAGACCTTGACATATGCAAATTGTAGTTACTGGGATGTATAGTTCACCTACAATCAAAGAGCATTCTGAACTCCACCAATGATGGAATTGAACCAAATATGGCACACAGAACTCCCACGACGAACAGAAAATATATATCATGGATTGGTTGGGGGGGGGGGCACGCCAAAAAATACTGTTCCTAGCTCCAACAGACAGGAGTCCTTTGTCCCACCCTGGTCATTCCACAAATATATAAACCCATTTTCCTAGTTCCAACAGACCTCACTACCTCTGAGGATGCTTGCCATAGATGCAGGCGAAACGTCAGGAGAGAATGCCTCTAGAACAGTGGTTCTTAACCTGGGGTCCCCAGATGTTTTTGGCCTTCAACTCCCAGAAATCCTAACAGCTGGTAAACTGGCTGGGATTTCTGGAGTTGTAGGCCAAAACACCTGGGGACCCACAGGTTGAGAACCACTGCTCTAGAACATAGCCATATAGCCCGAAAAAACCTACAACAACCCACACATACAGAGAGCCACAGCAACGCGTGGCAGGGGACGGCTAGTAATAAATAAGGCGTCAGGACGGGCTGGGAGGTGCAGAGGACGGCGCTTCCGCTTCCCGCCGGCAGAGGGCAGTGGCGACACACCGACGGCAAAAACGCCATCCACAACACTTGGGGATTGCTTTTGAAGCTTGGGACCCGGGGCGGATTGGAGCTTGGCTGGAGGAAGAGGCAGCAGAGGCAGTGAACAAGCCACGCTTCCAAGGGGAAGGTGAGAACTTCCCCTCCTTTCCTGGCTGCCCCGCCTCCTTGGGACAAACCAAGCCTAGAAGGAGGGGGGAGCAGAGGGGCGGGGTTAGCAGCAAGCCCCGCCCAAGAGAGGAGAGTCCTCTGTCTCTGTGTCTCTCGCGTCCTCCTCCACCCCCTCCCTTTCGGAAAGACTACACCCCCCAAGATGCTTTGCCGGACTCTCCCTGGGGTTCCGGATGCTGCTGACAAGCGAAGGTAAGCAGTCGAGCTCCGGAGGCAGCCGGGGAGGAGCAGCAGGAGCTCGGAAGGAGCCCAGCGGAGCCTTTCTCCTCCTCTGAAGGAAGGGAAGGGAAGGGAAAGGAAGAGAAGGCGGTGGCTGAGAGGAAGAAGGCGGAGGGAGCCTCCAAGCAGCAAAGAGAGCCAGAGGCAGAGAAATACAGAGAGAGAGACACAGAGAGACAGCGAGAGGGAAGCAGAGCTGTGCCAGGCTCGCCTCCGCCTTTTGTGCGGCGGGTTTGCAAAGGAAAGGAAAGCAGAGAGGGAAGGGGAGAATGTGAGCAGCAGCAGGAGGAGGAGGACGATGCTGTCGCTGAAGGTTGGCAGCGGCGCCGAAGCAGAGCCCGGCACTGGCGAGGGGGGCAGGCAGGCCCCCGCCTCCTCCTCCGCCGCCTCCTCCTCCGCCGCCTCCTCCTCCTCTTCTTCCTCCTCCTCCTCCTCTTCTGCCTCCGCCTCCGCTTCACGCCTGGAAGAGAAGAGGAGCCTCCACGGAGCTGCCCAGCAGCCTCAGCAGGAGCAGCCCGAGCAGGAGGAGCAGCAGGCGGCCCCCAGCCCCGCGGGTGAGTCGTCCCAGCCTTGTTTTGTTCACGGTTCGGGCTTGTTTGTGCCTCCCCTCCTGGAAGCTCCAGCATTCCCCTTGGACAGACAAGAGAGAGAGAGAGAGGGAGGGAGGGAGGGAGGAAGAGAGACCCCCGCCTCCTCTCCTCCACGGAAGGCTGGAAAGAGGGATGGGGGATTCCTTAAAATAGGCAAGGGCTCGGCGGACAGCCCAACCAAGCCGCCTTTTGTCTCCAAAACCTTGGCAGTTGGAGAAAGAGGGAAGGAAGGGAGGGAGGCGAGGAAGAAGGAAGGAAGGAGAGAAGGGAGGGAAAGGAGGAAAGAAAGGAGAGAAGGAAGGAAAGGAGGAGAGAAGAAGGAGAGAAAGAAGGAGGAAAGAAGGAAGAGAGAAGGGGAAGAGAAGAAGAAGGAAGAAGGAAGGAAGGAGAAAGAAGAAAGGAAGGAAGGAAGGAAAAGAAAGAAGGAGAGAAGGAAGGGAAGAAGGAGAGAAAGAAAAAGGAAGGGAAGGAAGGAAAGAAAGAGGAGAAAGAAGGAAGGAGAAGGGAGAAGGAAGAAGGAAGGAAAAGGAAAGGAGGAAGAAGAAGAAAGGAGAGAAGGAAGGAAGGGGAAAAGAAAGAAAGAAGAAGGAGAGAAGGAAGGAAAAGGAGGAGAGAAGAAGAAGGAGAGAAAGAGGGAAGGAGAGAAGGAAGGGAGGAGGAAGGAAGGAGAGAAAGAAGGAAGAAATGAAGGAAGGAGAGAAGGGAGTAAGAACGAAGGAAGGAAGAAGTGAAAGGAGGAGAGAAAGAAGAAAGGAGAGAAAGAAGGAAGGAAGGAGCAATAGAAGGAAGGAAGGAGAGAAGGAAGGAAAGGAGGAGAGAAGAAAGAAAGGAAGGGAGTAGGAAGGAAGGAGAGAAAGAAGGAAGAAATGAAGGAAGGAGAGAAGGGAGTGAGAACGAAGGAAGGAAGAAGTGAAAGGAGGAGAGAAAGAAGAAAGGAGAGAAGGAAGGAAGGAGCAAAAGAAAGAAAGAAGGAAGGAGAGAAGGAAGGAAAGGAGGAGAGAAGGAAGGAAGGAGAGAAAGAGGGAAGGAGAGAAGGAAGGAAAGGAGGAGAAAAGGAAGGAAGGAGAGAAGGAAGAAAGGAAGGGAGAGGAAGGAAGGAGAGAAAGAAGGAAGAAATGAAGGAAGGAGAGAAGGGAGTAAGAAGGAACGAGGAAGGGAAGGAGGAGAGAAAGAAGGAAGGAAGGAGCGAAAGAAAGAAGGAAGGAGAGAAGGAAGTAAGGAGAGAAAGTGGGAAGGAGAGAAGGGAGGGAAGGAGCGAAGGAAAGGAGGAGAGAAGGAAGAAAGGAAGGGAGTGAGAAGGGAGGGAGGAGAGAAAGAAGGAAGGAAGGAGAGAAAGAAGAAATGAAGGAAGGAGAGAAGGGAGTGAGAACGAAGCAAGGTAGGAGAGAAGGGAGGAAGGGAAGGAGGAGAGAAAGAAGTAAAGAGAGAAGGAAGGAAGGAGGAAAGGGAGAGGAAGGAGCGAAGTAAGTAAGTAAGGGAAGGAGTGAAAGAAAGGAGGGAAGGAGAGAAGGAAGGTGAGAAAGAAGGAAGGAGGGAAGGAAGGAAGGAAGGGGGTTTGTGTGTCTTGTCCTTCCTGCCCATCTTCCTCCCTGTTCCTCTCTCTCCTCCTTCCTTCCTTTCCGCCTCAAGTGACACCTCTCCTTCCCAAGGTTCACAGACATGATGATCCACCACCACTTTTTGTCTTCTTTTCTTTCTCTGTCTCCCTCTTTTTCTCTCTCTGGCTCCTTCCACCCATCTGTATAATATCCCACATCGTCGGCTTTGAACTGTGTTATCTGGCAGTGCGGACTCAAGATAACCTAGTTCAGAGCAGGTATTGTGGATGATCTGCTTTGATATTCTGGGTTCTGTGGCTGTGTGGAAGCCCCCCCCCCCTTCTTTCTTTCTTTCTTTCTTTCTTTCTTTCTTTCTTTCTTTCTTTCTTTCTTTCTTTCTTTCTTTCAGCTTTTAGGTCCTTAAGTAGAACTCTTTGCAGTTCCGCACACATGCCACTAAGGCTGAAAAGGAGGTTGGGGGGGGGGGGGTTGCGTGCCTTTGGCAAAGAGAAGAGAAGAGGACAGGAGGAAAAGGAGGGGGGGAGGAGTAGAAGAACCCCCTCCTCTTTCTCTCTTCCCCCCTCCCTCTCTCTCTCTCTCACACACAAGCAGGAAGTTGTCATCCCAGCCTGTGGGGCTGGCAGGGAGGTGAGGGTGAGGGTGGAGGTGCCATCCCACTTGTTTGGACTTTGGCTGGGGGAAAAAAGGGTGAAGTGGCCCCCTCCTCCCTCTCCCCTTCTTCTCATCGGAGGACACCACCCCTCCCCCAACCCCCCCTCTATACCCTCCCCCCTCACACCCCTCCCCCCTCCGCCCCCCCCCCCCCTCTCCACCACCTCCTCCACCACCACCACCCCCACCACCACCTCCTCCCCCACCACCACCTCCCCCCCCACCCCCTCTCCCCCCCCCCCCCCCCGCACCTCACACCCGTTCTTCTCATCGGAGTTTTCTCTGCGAAGGGGGAGAAAAGGTGAGCCCAGCAGGGAGAGGTTGTTTGCCTGCCAAAGTGTTTGCTGGAGAGGCTCCGACCTGTGGCACGGCCAGCGGACCTCCCCTGCCAATGGAAAAAGGGAAAGAGGCAATACACACTCTCTCTCTCTTTCTATCATTGTGCCACACACACACAAGGAAAGGGTCCTTCACTTGGCTTTGAAGCAATGAAGCCTGACACCAAAGTGCCTCCTAATAATGTTCCTTTGCAGCCAACAGTCTTTTCGACCTAGAGGCTTGAGAAGGAGCCCAAGGCGGCAGGCGGCACATTAAGAGGAGGGGATTGACTTGCGTTTAAGTTCCCATGTGCTCCGGGGAAAAGATGTGCACAGGCATGCACAGGGCCACCGCTTCACTCAGACGTTGGTCCATTCAAGTGATAGCCTGTTTATTGCAGGCATGGGCCAACTTCGGACCTCCTTCCAGGTGTTTTGGACTTCAACTCCCACCATTCCTAACAGCCTCAGGCCCTTTCCTTTTCCTCCTCGGCCACTTAAGGAAAAGGAAGGGTCCTGAGGTTGTTAGGAATGATGGGAGTTGAAGTCCAAAACACCTGGAAGGAGGGCTGAAGTTGGCCCATGTCAGGTTTATTATCCTTTTTTTAAAACTTCTCCTAGTTCTGTCACATGTTTCAAACTCAAATTCAACCCACCGATGTCCTTTTACATTGCCCTCACATGCTACACTACAACTCCTGTGTTCTTCCTCGCTCCACTTCATGAGGAGCCGATGGGAGTTGTGACATGACAACGTTTAGTACGTTGCAGTTGGTTCTTTTTAGTCTGGAGAGAGGGGTTTGGATTGAGAGACAAGGCTTATGAGTACGACGCCTGGCTTTCTAAATGTCCTTTAACTTTCCACCAACCTCGGAACCACAAGGGCTGTTGGGTTGCCGTTCTCGTCTTCCTCCGGTCCACATGGCAGATAGAGACTCACCTTGGACACTTCCCAAGTGTCTAGGGCGTTGTTGTTCAGTATTTACAAATAGAGAAAAAAATAGTATCTGGGTAAAAACTAGAGAGCACGACCACTATGTTTGTGTGTGTGTGTGTGTGTGTGTGTATGTGTATGTATAGTGGTCCCTCTGTATCCACAGATTCTCTGTCCATGGATTCAAAGTGACCATAAAGCTTTGACACATTTGAATGGCATTTTATTTGAAAGTAGAACGCAGCACATGCAACAGAATCCTGGATTGTTTACATAGACTTGCTCCCTTCTTTCCTGCGCTCCTGGTGACTGGGTCTGTGTTCAGTCCTGATCCCCAAAGACCCAGGGAGAGGACTGATGTTAGCTCCATCCATAGGGTTTCCCACCTCCTGTCTTTCTTTGTCTCGAAGTGTAAGTGGCATCCAAACACTCCGGCTCACACAGGAATAAATTAGCAGTCGCAATGGGGCTGATGATGAGGTGCACTGGGTGATGCTCAAGCCTTTGAGGGTTGAGTTGTCAGGCTCTGTTGATGTTGTTTGGCATGGAGAAAGTTCCTGAGTCGCTCTTGACACTAACTAAAGAAAAAAATTATTATTATTTGATACAGAACAAGATTAGTACACAGCAAACAAGATCACTAAGCTGGCTGTTGTATTGGATCATATGTCGGACACTTCCCAAGTGTCTAGGACTATGATGTATCGGCGAGTAATGCATGCAGATCTGAGTAGGGTGGCTTTTGCAGCTGACTGTGTTTAGTGCCGATTGTGTTTAAGTGCGGGCATAGGTCGTTAGGTACTGAACACAGTGTGTCCATCACCGCTGGGATCACTTTGACTGGTTTGTACCAGAGTCATTATTATTATTGTTATTGTTATTATTTGAAACACAACAAGATTTGAAACAGCAAACAAGATCGCTCTGCTGGCTGTTGTATTGGATCACAAGTCGGACACTTCCCAAGTGTTTAGGACTGTGATATATCGGCGAATAATGCGTGCAGATTCGAGTAGGGTGGCCTTTTGCAGCTGACAGGTGGTAATTTTCTCAGTGACAATTGTTTTTAAGTGCAGGCCAAGGTCATTAGGTACTGCACCCAGTGTGCCGATCACCACTGGGACCACCTTAACTGGCTTGTACCAGAGTCGTCATTATTATTATTATTATTATTATTATTATTATTATTATTATTATTATTATTATTAGAAACGCAACAAGATGAGTCCACAGCAGACACTCTGCTGGCTGTTGAATTGGATCACACGTCGGACACTTCCCAAGTGTCTAGGACTGTGATGTATCGGCGAATAATGTGTGCAGATCCCACTAAAGTGGCTCCATCCCTCCTGTCATTTAGGAAGAAATTGAAGTCGTGGTTCTGGGACCAGGCTTTTGAGACATGGAATTGGATATGGAATTGACTGGAATTGGTTAATACTGTTTTTACTGTTTTAATGAAGGTTTTATTTATTGTTTTAAATGTTATTATATTGCTCTGTT